CCCCCCCCCCCCCCCCCCCTATCCCCCCCTCCCCCCCCCGGCCGTCGGGAGATGGTCCAGGTCAACGGCGCTCCGTGACAGAACGAAGTTCCTGAGGTCCGGGACTTCTCTTCTTCTCTTTTAGGCACAATAAGGGATGATTCAGGCTCCCCTTTAAGGGTTCCTCTATAACGGTGTTACTACAAGCATACCATAGGGGTGTAGCGTTCGGCGGCTTTGGGTTTTGGTGTTTTGGGGTTTTGGGGGCTTAGCTGTGCCAATCAAGGAAGGAATGAGATAAACTGTGTCGAGATGTACAGAGGCATCCACGGAGCGGTTGCTGACGACCCTGCACCCGGAACCCCATGTCAAAAGCATGATCCTGAAGGGTCTCCCTGGCGAAAGGACTGAGTTTTGCAGGTGAGCTCCTGAGCCCAAAACACCGCACTTTGCGATGATTGACTTGCGCGTACAGACTAAGGTTTAGGGGTAATTAAAGGGTATAGGGTTTTAGAGTACCGGGGTGAGGCCAGCCGATACTTTGGGATTACCTCGGTTAGGCTGACATTCCTGCTGTAGGTTGAAGAATCTTCCTACGTTCCGCACTTACTGGATGATGCATAGCAAACCATCAAGGAACAGGGCGAGGAGGCGCAGAACTAAAGACAACTTGCTGACCGAGTGAACTATCAATGAGAACCCACAGCCTGCTCCACGAAATGAATGACCGCAAACCACACCCTCATAACACTCGTGGAAGCGACAGGCTTCTCATGCTGCAGAGCTATGATGTTGATTCGGATGCAAGTTGTGCTCGCAGGCATGGTTCGTCGATTTGCTAGCAGCGATGCCTCTCGGTAGAAAGTCTGAAGCCATAACAACCCCTCCATACAAACCCTTATACACATAGAAACCCTTCGACCAAATCAAATCTTCAGCAGCCCTGCCCTACTGCAGAGTTTGACCCCCTATCAAGCCCCAAATCCCTTGCAGAGCCTGTAAAGCCGCCCTGAATCCCCTATTCAGCTCCGTTCATTCTGCCAGAGCAGTGAACCCAAAAGTCCTTCCGTTCCTTCTCCGAGTCGCAGAGCCCGCAGGCCCAAGATGGGTACTCGATCACAGCCCGTGCAGAAAAGCAGCAACTTCCGCTGCCTGGTACTTGGGAGCGGCTGTTGGGTGACGAATCTGTTTCGGGTTTTGGGAGTGTGGACGAAGAGGCCCGGCACTGTGAATTTGTCGGGACTGGCTTCAGCGGTTTTAATCGCCGAAGTATGAGGCGGTTTAGGACTTCGTGGTTGTGCAGCTTGTAGACTTTGGATTCCCTCTCTGACTAGTTCGAAGGCGAATCCAACACCAGCGGCAGCCATACGAAGCGATCATGCTTTTCGGTCCTGACTCGAATCACCTTTCATGTGGGGCTGATACCTGTCAGACTGAGACAGGCGCCAGATCTCGGACATGCCGTGCACCACCCGCCAGAACCTCGGAGGAGCTCTCGACTTCGAGGTTGGAGCCAGGGGTTTAGGGTTTAGGGTTTAGGGCAGCCCTTAAACCGAAAAAGTCTTCCAGATGCAAGACAAGTACGTCTTTGCCACGGGATGATCTGGATGAAAGCCTCGCGGCGCAGAGTTGCAACAACCGAGCTCAAAATCGCAAGCCGGATGTAAACACCCTCAAATTCAAAAACCCAAACCTTCGTTGACCAGGCACCCCATCCCCAACCAAGGCAAGCTAGCTTTGGAGTTCCACAGCTACCAGGAACATGGCGCGGCCATGGGCCGCTTGATCTCCAGGGCAAGAAACACATCGTGGCAAGAGATAACTCTGCCGGAACGATCGGCGATCGGCCCAGCAGTCAACGGGCCACGCGACACACCACGGCATAACCCTTCGGCCCTGACCCGCAAGCTGCCGACTGCCCGAAACCCGAAATCCGCAACCTGAAATAAGTCTTGCGCCAGGCTGCCATTTGCGTACTTGCAGCTGAGCTCAAGGTCCTTCCATAGCAGTTACTGTGATGATGTCAATTCTGGCCACAGGACCACTTGCAGGGTTGGGGACTGTAGCTGTAGTCGTCGCAGTTGTTGTCAATGGGTCTTTGTGAATGGATGATTGGAAGTAGCTGAACCTGCACATGAGATGATAGAAATTACGGTTCTGATGGCATTGATAACAGGTATGATGGCAGCAAGACTGACCAAGGTCATGGTCATGACGATGACGACGACGACAACGACGACGACGACGACGATGACGACGATGACGATGACGATGATGATGACCATGACAATGATGATGATGATGATGATGATGATGATGATGATCGCCGTGCGCCTTGAAGTCCCCAAGATATGGAAGCCCGCATATCAGCAGCTCCAAATCATGGGCGGTGCAGAGGCGGAAGGCTGGCCCGACAGCCATGCCTGGAGGACTTCAGCATTTGAAGGGTTTAAGGTGTAGCTCTAGGGCGTGCGGCTTGGCTCTGGCATTGCATCATCTGTGAGTTGGAAGGTTGATTTGTGCGTGGGCTGGCCAGCACTATCATTGATAGCACCATTCGCACGATTGTAGGTAATGTTGCTATTCCTGCTGTTGTGGAAACAATGGTGAAGACATCGACTGCTCTGTCATGGTCACGATACCTACACCTGTTCCTGCAGAATACACCTGCCAAACACCATGCGGACAAAGACAATGAAAGCACGATGTTGGGGCCATGGGTCCCGGGGGCGAGGTATTTGGAGCTTGGCAGCGACGCGGATCAAAAAGATAATATAGGGGCCTTAATAATTAGAATAGGGTTTTGGGGCCCATTATAGTAGGGTTTTGGGGCCCATTATTGTATAATTATAATACGGAACTCCCAAAACCATAGTCTAACCATTAAGGCCCGTACATTACTGGAGCTAAGGTGCAAACCGAGGCTTTTTGCACAAACCCCCGGAGCTGCTCCATGTCGCCCGCATAGAGGGCGGCTTGCGCATACCTCACACTACTGTTAAGTTTATGGTGAAGAGAAGCTTTCGGGAGATCGCACCAATGATGGAAGAGCTGACGTAATGGTTGACGAAGATAGTGACGACAACGGCAATGAAGACGAAGGAGATGATGGTGATGATATGTGATGATATGATGGTGACGATGGTGATGACGGAAATGCACATCCACGCACACAGAACATGTCGGGATGTATGCGTATGCACAAGTGTCTCTGAGTGTAGCTGAAAATTCTACTCATACATACGAAGACAATGCAGCCATCGCACTCTCGAATGAATGCTTCGAGCTCATCTTGCTGCACGTCGGCACTTCGCGGCCTTCCTCCCAACGCTGTGTCCTGCATTGGAGATGTCGCTGCTGGGCGTCCATATCTGGTGACAACACAGCTCTCAGCTGCTGCCCTTCATGTGAAGCTTTGCATCGAAGAGCACTCCGGGGTGAGTTCTGCTTAAGGCGATTGCAGTTATCGGACACGAAAGCTGCCGGATCAGAGTCAAGATTTCTTGGCACATCACTAACCGCCCCCACTCGGCTTGCCGCACTCGGTGCCACAGCTGCCTGTCCTCGTTGGCACCAGGCAGCCGGACCGACCACGTCAAGCATAGGTCCCTTATGCCACAGCGGAACATGCCGCAAACGGAGATTGCGCGCTCTGTCCCTAGAAACATCTCACAGCAGCCTAGAGGCCGAATGTCGTGCTTGCCTTAGCTTTCATCTAGAGGCGGACTGCATGCTCAGACGCAGCAATTCTCGCAGCGGCTCTATGATTCAACCCTAAACCCTGCAGCCTAAACCCTAAACCCTAAACCGTGGTCAATGATGCTTCGATGCCGCGCTACGCAGGCTGGTCAGGGACCTGTAGAGAGATGGATGAAGACCCTGAAGGTCCTGGGAACAGGCCAAAAAAAGAGAGCACCCAATCAATGGGCTGTTTAAAATGGGGTTCTAATATAGGGGCCTTAACAGATTAGACTAGGGTTTTGGGGGGTATATTAAGCTGGAATTACAATCAGGACCCACCCCCAAACAAAAACAATAGTATTGGTAATCATTAAGGCCCCTACATTAGATGCCGTGTTCCTTGAGATCCTCATGCAATGCTGCGTAGCTGTCCTCGATGGTATGGTTCGCCAGACCGTGGATGAGGAACTTGTACATGAGAGGATGCAACCTGCCGAACCCGACTCTTTCCCCGCGATTTTGAAAACCCCCCATCAACAATGTAATGGACTATTCCTCACACCGACATGTCATACGGTGCTCTTCATCAACACTCAAGCTGCAGAGAGCAAAACTCCCCTCCGGCTTTTTTGCAAGACCCAAGGCCTGAAGTCCAAGTAGATGGCGTTGTAAACCTTGACAGAATCGCACACTTACCGCACTTACCATGGTGTGGGGTCAACCGTTGCCAGATCCTGCTACTTAAGGTGTGAAGACAGCCCTTAACTTCGGGTGGATGGCTTCCTCGTGGCTCTTGCTGCTTCTACAAGGAATTGTCACTACCGTAACCACTGTGATCGTTGCTGCATTGCGGCTGCTACTACTCTAGCATGAGTAGTCTTGCGGCAGTCGCTGTCGTCGACATAGTAGCAGTCGCAATCTTTGTATGGCCATTCACGATTTTGTTGCTATTGCTGAAATACTAGAAGCCCATTGCCGCGAGCATGATTGCCCCGAGCATGACTATTCTTGGTGCTGGGACTGTGACAAGCAACCGATTCTGCCGTATCATGGAAAAACGAGTTACCTCTCCAACTACAACCCTCAAGACCCTCAAGCCCAAAACCATATCCTAAGTTGTCAGCCGAAAGGATAAACAGCCCCGAAGCCTCATCAAGCCCGACATCACCCCATGGAACCGAAGCCCGAGAAGAGCCTGATAGAACCCTATTATAGGGTTTAGGGTTTAGGGTTTTGTATAGACAGCTAAATCCAAAACCCTGAAGCTCCTGAAACCCCTCAGCCCGGCGACGGCCAAGCCCACGATAGCTCCGGCGATCTCAGGCAGATGCTCCACCCAGGTCCTCCGGGCGCAGGTTTAGGGAAGTCTAGGGTTTCTGAGGGTTTCGGGGTTTAGGCTTTATGGAGGTCCAGTAGGAGCTCGGGCTTTGGAAGAGACAAGGGTTACTATAAGGGCTCCGTTAAGGGCTACTGTATGAATTACTGTAAGCGTTGCTTGAACAAGCGGTTGCTATAGCAGGTTTGGTGCAGACCCGAGTTGACCGAAAACGGATGCTCGGCTGCAGAGGTGCAGGTGTGATTTCCAGGTGCTACTTGGGGCTCGTCCGTGTACAAAACCTATTCTAAAACTACTCATGCCGATGTGCTTCAAGATGAATCCGGCGATGCGCAAACGAAGAACCTAATCCTTGAAGCTCTGAAACCTTCAGTACCCTAAGTGCACCGATAGAAATTTCAAATCGAGGCTCTCGTCGTGTGCTGTCTGCTCTGGAGGGGTGCTGGAAAGCACCTGATGCCGAGAAACAGGGGCCTTCCTTGCATCCCTGTAGGCAGAGAGGCATTGGCAGAAGGAACTGCAATGTGGGCTTATGGCGTTCTAGGGCTCTTCCATGGGCTTCTAGGCGGCATTGCCGTGTTCTCCGAAACTCTCTGGTGAGGTTTCAAAGAAAAATCAACATACCGGGGCGTCTCGTAAACAACAACACACGAATTCGCTTTCCTCTGTTGGGGCTGCAAAAACAACGACGACAGGTTCGAAACCAAAGCAGCCCCAGACCTTCAGTACAGAACTCTCGTTACTTCGTGTTGGTGCCATCATCTCTATTAGTCCCATTGCTTGAGTGGCAGAATATACTAGGCGGCAGCATGTGGGTATAGGGTTCCAAAGCACAGTCCCTCGATAAATCACCCGCTAGAACGGAACTTGTAGAGAAAAACAGAGGAGACATGCATCGACTCCCAGCCCTAAATCCTGAGCATCCCTTTTGCGCCGGCCTTATCATGCTCGCTGGGTGGGCGGAACCAGAGCAGACCCGGCCACTCGTCCAGCTCTGCGAAGATCCTAAAGAGCTTCGGATGAGTATAGGGTATGAGCGTGGGGTTTAAGTGCTGCCACAACAACGACGGCAGCGACGACGATCAGAGCCTCTAAATACCATTGCTGCTGTTCAGCTTTCTGTGCGACTGCTAAAGTCTAAATGCAGCGGGACACTAGCTCAAGAATGATTCCCTGGCAACGCAGACGATGTAGTGTAGCTCCCATTCGTTACGAAGCTCGGAGAAGCACCGCAACTCCACAGGAGTGCGTTTGCATCGGAGCTGCTGCGTCTTGGTGTACATCTCTCGCAAGACCAAGTGGAGGCACTCCTTTCCTCGGATTTCAAGAAGCACAGGCCCATGCAAAAAGACCAATGCAACAGCAGCCTTACAGGATGTCATCCCCGAAATGCACTCTCCCACAACTCAAGATCGCCCACCCTCCAAGAACCCCAAGCCAAGAGTCGGAAGCCCCCAACCTCCTACCTTGCAACCCCTGAAACCCAGAAACCACTGAAACCCAGAAACCACTGAAACCCAGAAACCCCGCAAACCCTCGAAAGCCTAGGCCCGGAAAAATCTCACAAGTATCATGGTATCTCGACTCAGGGTTTGGGTGAGGGATTCGGGTTTGACATTTTAAGTTGCTGGGATAAAGGAAGCGCAGGGTCTTTGGGACTTCGAAAGGGGCCATGGCAGGGCAACTGGTGAAAGCCCGGAAACCCTCAACCCCTGCAACCCTAAACCCTCTAAGCGCCCGTCGCAACCCCCCAGCATCGATGCCATGCTCGCCCACGAAGTCCACTGTTAGCGGCAGGCACAGGCCTTGAGGAAGCATCATTATCAGCTTGGATTACAGTTAGTATTACGTAATATTGTTACAAGAATTCTCACTATTTTTATAACTACAATCACCATCACCATCGCTATCGCTTAATTATTCTCACTATCTTTATTCTTGCGGGAAGTCGGGGTGTCGGAAGCCTCTGAGATCCCAACACTAAACTCTTCTAACAAAGCCCTGCACCCAAAATCTTGAATCCTTCATCTCGATGTGCCCCTCGAAATGCTCTTTTTCAGCGCCATGATGGGCTTTTTTCGGGCCCAGCCGCAGGACGGATGTTACAAGTTGAAATCCGGTGGAGGGGTTTGTAATTGGTAGACTCCCCTTGGGAAAAGGGTGTGTCGGAAAACGGTGTCTTAAAGGGAGTGTCCTGATCTACAGCAACCCCATGGACCGGGACAGCAGAATGCAGCCTGCATCCATGTAATGTAGGGGTCTGAATGTTTTGGGGCACATTCTACTACAATTATACTAAGGAACCCCCAGAACAATGTAGGTAAATGTTTAGGCCCCTATCTTATCAACCTTGAAATACATGTCCCTGAGGAAACGATCTGGGAGCCTTTTCGGAAATTTGCAGATTTGTTTCCAAGGAAAGAGCTGCTTCGTTTCAACAGCAATTTTTTTGCGATCATAAGTAGGGTTTAGGGTTTACCCCACACCCTCAAACCCTGAACCCTAAACGCCAGACCTCTAACCTGAGCCCGAAGCAGCAAGCCGAGAGGCTTTCTGGCTGGTTCTGTATGCGCCACCAGAGCTGCCCGCAGAAGTCCGAGAGGATGTGCCTGGGCTCGGAGCTTTGTGGTTGTGCAAAACAGCGCTTCTAGGATTCTCAACCCAGTTTAGAAATGATGGATATTAGTTTAAGTTTCGATTTTTCAATCCACCTCTGGCGAAGCATGAATGCGTTCTGACGGCCTTCGATCCGCACTGCTCTGAGCTGAAGTCATCTTGAACCTCTCCAAATCCTCACATCACCCCAAACCTAGACACTTGAATTCACTGGAATCTTCGACACTTCGTCTTTCTCCTTTAGGCACAATCCGAAATAACAAAGAAACCACTGCAGCTCCATTCCCGAAACGAACTGCAACTCCCCGAAGCCTGAAACTCCAGACGCCCTAACTCACCCATGCAGTAAATCCAACCCTTATGAGTAGTTCTCTAAATTAGGGTTCCTTTCTTAGGTCCCCAATATAGTACGGCACCCTTATAAGAAGGACCCAAAAAGGGACCCTAACTTAGAGAACTCACTACCCTTATGGTAACCTCATAGAGCCCGTCCGGTAATCCCTCAACGGCGCAAACGTATCAGAATCCGGCAAAGCCCAATAAAACCGCTCAGTAAAATCTATCAGAGGCCCCACCTACAGCCCCCGCTTTCGAGCAAAAAGGCACCAGAGTTCTCAGAACCCTATTCTGGAGGATGAACTTGAAGGAACTCTAACAATTAAAATGCGTAAAAGGTGCCCTGTAAAAGCTCAAAAGAAATTTGTAAACACCTTGCACTGAGCCCTATAAACACCGATAAAAACACTTAAAGCAACCCTGTCCAACCAATATGGGCCCTTGAAGGAAGCCTGAAGGCAACCGTCTAAAACAGAAAAAACCCGTAAAGGAACCGTATAAAACATCTTAGAGCCCCTAAAGGAACCCCATTCTCAGAGCGACTCACGCCGCACCCGATAAACCAGCGCTCGCTGGAAGGCATGCTCGGGGGCTCCGAGGCCCTCTCCTGGTTCAGAGCTTCGGAATAGGTGGTTAAAAGCCTGAAACCTACGTATGCTTTTTTTTAAGGCATCAGGGTTCAAGATTAGGGTTTAGGGCTCAGGTTTCGGAATAGGTGGTTTAAAAACCTAAAACCTACGTATGTTTTTTTAACTAGGCATCAGGGTTCAAGATTTAGGGTGTAATTTAGGGTTTAGG